GTTTGGAGCATTTTCACTGAAGTTATGAGAAAACCGTGTTTCATGGCGGGCATTGCGTTGCCATGGCAACGGCATTTGAAGAAATCTCAAAACTGTCCCGTAGATGTCTTCACGGCTGGACTGTTAGCACACATGTGAAGTTTGAGCACTTTTTGAACATTTTCATAGGAATTATAACGACATCATGTTTTATGGCGAGGGATGCGTTTCCATGGAAACGGCATATGGTGAGACCTCAGATTTGGCGTAGAGCTGTTGAGGCATGGACCGGTGATATACAAGTGAAGATTGGGGGACGATTGGACCGTGTCCATTGGACTTATAGCGACATCATGTTTTACGGCGAGGGATGCGTTTCCATGGAAACGGCATATGGTGAGATCTCAGATTTGTCGTAGAGCTGTTGAGGCATGGACCGGTGATATACAAGTGAAGATTGGGGGACGATTGGACCGTGTCGATGGGACTTACAGCCACATCGTGTTTCATGGCGAGTGGTCCGTCGCCATGGCAACGGCATTTGATGACACCCCATACTACGCTTAGATGCGTTGATGGCTGCATCGTTACCAAACCTGTGAAGTTCTGGGCTGTTTGGAGTATTTTCACTGAAGTTATGAGAAAACCGTGTTTCAAGGCGAGCATTGTGTTGCCATGGCAACGGCATTTGAAGAAATCTCAAAACTGTCCCGTAGATGTCTTCACGGCTGGACTGTTAGCAAACTGCTATCTGAAGTCTGCTGCTCTGAGCATGTCAGTTGGAGTGATGACATCATCGTGTTCCATTACACAGGTGTTTATATTTGAGCTAACGAGCGTCCAGAGATCAAAGGCTTCATTGTTCTGAATGAGAGATAAACCTCTTACATCTGAACGTTTTGTGGAAGAACCGTAACAGATATCTGTGACATTTCAAAACGTGAAGCATGTCAAGGAAGTTGAGTATCTGAAGTGTAATTTTTGTGTAGTTTCGGGTTAATAATGTGGCCTTTTTGGCAGTTTAACTAAAGGTGTGCGGCTGCTACCGTGAGGAAATATCTGCCTGAAATTACAATGGGGTTTAATGGAGGAATGTTGAACGTTTTTGTCCTTCATGCCCTCAAAAAGCATTTTGTTTAATTATTTTTTGCCTAATTATTTGTCATTTTACAAGCTACGAGATGTTTTCCTACGTTTGTCATGATAAATTATGTCTCAGGAATGTAGGGTTTGGGAATTATGGCAGTTTAAAAAATATATATGAATGCGAATTTCAAGCTGTCCTCCACTCTAGCTGTGACATCACACACTCTAGTTAATGTTAAAATGTGAAGAAAACCTCTAAAACAAGGTCTGAACAATGTTTAATATCTCTAAAAGTAAGAATCAGATTTAAAAGTTGTTTTACACGAATAATATCAGAAAGATGTGTAACATTTTAAAGTTGGAATGAGGTGTCTGAGTGAAAGTATGAATGAACAGTTAGCAGTTGAATTGAATGAAGATTTGTTGAAGTCTGAAGATTTTCTCCATTGACTTCAATGTTAAAAATGTGATGTATTATGGGATGTATCTCTGGAATTATGAAAGCTTCTAATGAGTAAAATGGCGGCAGCCCTCTAGGCTACTCGCTATTGCGGTACTCCCCCTGCGCCGCCCCGCGCAGTCACTGCGACAACACTTGTAGTCCACCGCCCACCCGCAGTGTGGCCCACCCTCGGGCCTCCACTTCGGTAGAAATAGGAAGGAGGCCCGGCAAAATATGCAGGGGCGGAATATAATAAGACTTCGCCCCCGTAGAAGAACAGTTTACGTTAATAGCATCTAAAAAATAAATAAATAAAAACAAATTCCCTTCTACCTCAAACTCTGCGTGACCAGCCCCCTGGCGCCATCCTGGCCGGCCCCCCGGGGGTGCGGGCCCCACTTTGAAAAACACTGCATTAGACAGTGCTCAAGAACAAATATAGAGAAGACATTCAACAGGAGAGAGGACCTAAACACAGATTCAACCGGTAAACATGATGCCCTTTGCATTTATTTAGGCTAACCACTATTATATGACTGGGATGTGTTTTTGATTTGACTTGATTAAATGCGATTTAAATACATCAATGTATGTCTTTTCAGGCTGTCCCAGGTTTGTCCTTTCTGTGGCCAACATCTGGGGGACAGTTCAATGTTCTGTGGCTCCTCGTGGCAACAGTGTTGGGACTAGAACGCGTCTAAAAAGTAACTGCGTTAGCTGTACGCAACTAACTTTTGCGAGTAACTAATGCGTTACTCAGTTACCATATTCCATAAGTAACGCCGTTATATGTTAGCTGTTGATGTTACATGGGTGCGTTATACTTGGTTTACATTAAAAGTGAATGGGAACATGAACGCGAATCTCCCTGGCGGAATAGAGATATATAGTTGAAGTACAGGGCGGATGTCTTCTCACGCATGGAGTGGAAGTGAAAGTAACCAGAGAGGAGTGATGTGGTTAACGGCGGGTAACATTTCAGGGTAGCCAATCAGTGAGACAGAGTTGGACCCGGGTCTGTGCCTAATGGGAAATGGATATAGCACATACACAAAACTTGCTTAATGCTAACACACACACACACACACAGCACCACACACACCACGGCCTTGTCACTACCTCGATTCCGTACCCCTGCCGTCTGGTACTCGGCATGTGCCGAGATGGGGTCCGCCATATTGGAGGTTAAACTACGGACGGCAACTCCAAGAAAGGACACTTGACACAGTGGCTTGGAAAATCACAAAAAAGAACTTGAGAGAGAGAGTTATTGTAACACACGTGACTTATTCACTATTATTTTAACAACTCTTTTTATGCACATGTTGGGGAGTTGTCTTTATCTCTTACGTGCCACAGAGCAGACACATGAAAACTTGTGTTTTTATTGTTATTCTCTTAAAGTAAAATACGTAACTTGTACTCATTTAGCTTTTAAATTTAGTAACGAAATAAAGGAACTAGTTATTTTTTTGAGAGCAGTAACTAAAACTATACTAGTATAGCTTTTTAAAAAGTAACTTGCCCCAAACACTGTGTGGCAAACATGTATGAGTCTTGGCAAAGAAAGTTGCAACACAACAGTAAAGTTCACTTTTTTGTAATTTTTTTTTATGTATGCGTCAAATTGCAAGAAATAACGGATTCACACACTACTGCCTGTTAGAATACAATTGGGCAGATTGCATACACTAGTTATAGTAATCGAAGGACAATTTTTCATTGTCTGTTTAGTGAAATAATGTAGAAGCCATCCATTTAAATGTGAGAGCCATCGCATGATAAACTACAACAAAACAGCTATATTCATACATTCATTAATTGTGTTGATGAGTTCTTATCTTATAGAGAACATCTATACATTTATGCAATCAGGATTTTGAACAGCGTCGAGCGGCTGGAAAGTCAGCACCGCCANTAATAGCCATCGATTCTCGACCGAGCTGAACGTTTTGATGTTCGAACAAAGTTTCTGCGATGTTCAATGCGGGAGGAGAAGAGGGCCAAAATACCGGCGGAATAATAAACTTTTGGTACGTAGAATAACAGTTAGTTGGAATGCTGTTAACAGCATTCCCACTAAATAATAATAGTAGTATAATAATAATAATAATAATAACAAGAATATAGTTGAAATACAATAAATTGTAATTGTGGTTAAATAACAATGTCTGCTGCATTTATTTGGTCAATTTAAACGTTAAGTAACGTTATTATGTCAGGTGCGCGTGACCTGTGCCAGTGGCCCGCACGTGCCAGAGGACCTCGGCAAAACAGAGCCTGCCCAGGTATATTTAAAAAAGTACCCAACTCGCCTGTACAGTGGGGTAAGGCGCTCATTTTGCAGCTCATGGTTTCAAAACAGAGATTGGCTGGAATATTCATGTAAAAAAAATGCC